TTATTCTAATCCCCAGAATTATTTCTATTTTGTTTTTCATCACTTTAACGACAACACTTATTGCTGTGCGGCGCTTTGGGTACTTTGATCAAATGTCTGGGGTGACACTTTTAAAAAATTAGTATCAAACTCAAATGTATTTTACATACTACCAACACAAGAATAACCCCTCAATACAAGGCTTTACTTTTAGAATAATACTGTACGGAATTTCATATCTCAAAATTTGATTACAATGTTAGATGATTTGCAATATTTGAACCCTTTTTTCACCTATTGCAACCTTCTAATGTGGCATCGGCCAAAAAATCGTTATAATGCTTACTTAGCATATCTAGAAGGAACACCATAAATGTTCTCGAAAATTTTTGGTAAACGCTCGCGTACTGCGGTGAATTTACGTTTTCTGTCGTACTTTAAGCGCAGTGGCATGATAAAGGGTGGTTATGCCAATCAAACGGCACATCGTACAACACATCAGTGATCAGATGAGGGCAAATGCAAGTGTTTAATAACTTAGGAAATTAATGGTCTCTAACATCAAACGTCACCAATAAACTTTATTTTTTTAATGATTGTACGATTTTTTTAGTCAGTTTAGCACAGCCAATAAAAATATAAGTTACTTTGTCATATGCGAACTATTTTCATTGCTTTTTCTGTTCAAGTGTGAATTATCGTATGAGGAAGAATCCTTGCAAAAGGTTTCTAAAGTTATATATCTCCTTACATAGTTGTTCTTTAGATTCTCACAGGAAAACTATCCGGTTAACAACCCCTGCTCGGACGAATTCCAAGGTCCATTCCCATTTAGCGAGCCGGAGAGTAGGTAAGTGTCTTCTTTTTACTCGGCTACCTATTCTTTCTACCACATATTAACTTTGCTTCGACGAATGGGTTTCTTTTATGTACATTTACAAACCATGAACTTTATGTACATCCTATTTGTTCTAGGGCAGTTCGTGATTTCATAACATCAAAGGAGATTTATGGTCGACTACATGCGCTGGTCTCAATGCATACACATGGACAACTTTGGATTCTCCCCTATAATCACCATAAACGAACATATCCAGAGGATTTTAAAGATCTTGTGAGATAAATTCATTTTTGCATCAATTTGGGTGACTAAAAATTCTGCTGTAGGAACGTCTTGCTACGAAGGCCGCTGACAAGGTGTATTCCTATCGAGAGACAAAATATCGCGTCGGTACCGCTGCAGATATGCTAGGTAGTCCCTGCTAGAAAGTTGATTATCATAGGAAAGTAACTAGGAAATCTTTCCAGGGACGGCAACGGGTGGTGCAACAGACTGGATTAAGAAGAACACACCAACTAAATACGTTTACGTACTGGAGCTTCCGCCTGATATGTCTAGTAAGTTTTCTTGTTGTAACGCATGACTAGCTATCTTATCCACGTCTTTCTTCCTACCTAACGAAATTGAAACATTTCAGAGCTTGACAGTTATTTGTTCAAGAAAAGTTCTCTTTGATTTATGTGTTCATTCGAACATTCTTATAACATTTTCGATTGTGAAGTAATAATTAGAAAAAGTAGTCCCAAGAAAGTCAGCAGTGCATCTGGGTAATAATGAGGCCTTATAAAGCGCAGTTTGTACGGGTATTGTGGTGCTGATATTTTCAACAAATGGTGATTTGATTGCCGAGCAACCTTAGCTTTCGTTTCTCCTGTCACTGCGACTTTTTCATTGTTCTTAATTCAAAACTCAGCGTTCTCCTTAAGACTGTATCAACGTAATCTTTGATCGTTCACTGCTTCAGTGGGAAATGACTGCTCATGAAGAATTCTTGGGGTTTCTCTCGATGTTATTTAGTCAAACTAACCCGTAATAATTAAATAATAATCAATAAAGATATGTCTATCTTAAATCTTCATAAATCCTTTGAATATCTCCTAATTTTCATAGATCTTATGTTTTTTATCTACAAGTCATACTACAACATTTCCGTCGAAAATATTAAGGTTTTGAGTCAGTGTCTGCAGAAGCAAAACATTGAAACATCTCTGTGCCTCTGTATAAGAGTTGAAAAGCTTAACAGGAATTGCTCTAAATTAATTGTAATTTCTACTAATCATTTGTTATATTTTCAGCTTGGTTCGCGTTCCAAATCAGACCTCACTGGTTGCTTCCAATCGGCAAAGAAACATGGCTAGGAATCCAGGTGAAGCAGTTTTTCGCACAAGATTAGCCAGCTCCGGCTAAGCGGTGTTGTTCGTCAAATCATAAGTTTTCGTTGCAGGTGATAATTGACCAGGTTATTGAGGAGACCATAACAGAGCCGAGACGAAAAGCCGCTGCCGCCAAAGCAACTCATTAGATCTTTGTTTTCTAGGAGTAATTTTATTTATAGGCAATTTTACCTGTATATTTAGCATAAGAATTTGCTTTATCAAAAATTGTGGTAACCATTGATTTTTGGATTGCCTTATTTAGGTAATCGATGGTTATCCCCAAAAAATTGAAAAATACGCACTATCCACTCAGAGCGATATATTGATCTACTCAAACTTTTATTCTTTTGTGGAAACGTTTTTCTCTCATACCCGTTACGTTCTTACGATTTTCTATGTCTTTTGGACGCAGAACCGGTCCAGCTTAGGACGACTATTGCCGATTAGCTTGATTAGCCTTTAGCAGAGGGATTGCTGTTGCAGTGTCGGGTATAGAATTTTGCATAAAAGTCTACTAGGTCTAAAGGAACCTTTGAGTGGCCAACAACGCAGAAACTGTAAAACTTTGCTTTTTCGCTTTGTTTGATTATCACAAAAACAAATTATTACGCCTATTGCTATTGTACTTCTGTACTGCCGCCTAACTTTTCGAAGTTACCTTAAATTGTCACCCTTTATCACTAGGTTCCCATCTACCTCTGATCATATGGTTTCTTCGCCAAAATCTATCCTTTTCCCTTCGAGGATCTTCTCCAAAATGTACTTAATCACGGGAAAAAAAA